CTCAGCTCTTCAGCTCAAGGCTAGCGCTCTACCACTTGAGCCACAGCGCCACTTCCGGCTTTTTTCTGTTTGCTTATGTGGTGCTGAGGAATCGAACCCAGGGTCTTGAGCATGCAAGGCAAGCGCTCTACCACTGAGCCACCTTCCCAGCCCCAAGACTGCCTTTTAACAAATGTTTCTTTAACAAGTGTTTCTTTAATGTTTTGTTTTAGTAAGCCTTCATCAATTTGGAATTACATTTCCAAGAAGCCAAATTACCCAAAAAAGTGTTCATTTTTATTTTTAAGTAATAGAAGTTCAGTACTGTTAATTTATTAAAGTGCATTTAGTTTGTCAGTTTCAATAATAGGCCCCTCCCTTTCTCTCATCTCTCTCCCCCTTCTTCTCCCCCCCCCCCCTTTTCTCACCATTCCCCTTTTCCCCTTTTCTCCTCTTTCTGCTTCCCTCATTTATGGTGCTGAGTATTGAACTCAGGGCCTCTGACTTGCTGTGTTAAGTCCTCTACCATTTGAATTTCAATTTTAGGCACATTTTTGATTGTTGAATTTGATAAGACATTTATAATAAGTCATTTGTTAGGTTAAAATCATTTGACATGAATTGATAATTTTTTTCCTGCTCAGGTATACTCAAGAGCAAATGACCAAGAACCATGTGGATGGTGGTTAGCTAAAGTTCGAATGATGAAAGGAGAAGTAAGTGATTTTTGAGAATTACTGTATCAAGAAAATAACTCAAATCTTGGTTTCTGTAAATGTTAACTCATTTCTAAAAGCTTACTTCAAACATTAAAAAAATATTATGGACTATTTTGTTTAATAAAATGAATACCAGGAAGTAGAAACGAAAAGTGAATACCGGGAAGCAGAAACATGTTGCAGGGAGACACTGGCCAGGGCAGGGGGAGATGACAGATGACATGACAAATGGAGGGAGGGTGAGCAAATGGAGTCTTGTATTTCGTGTACATCATGTAAAATTGAACTATGTAACTTGAGGGTAGGAATGGAGAAGAACAATGAAAGGGGTGACATTGATCAAATTGATCAAGGTGATATATTATACTCATAACCTGACTTAAAGGCTCTTTGTATAACTACTTAATAAAAAAATTATTATGCACTATTATTTTTCTCTTCTTGTGTTACATTGGCAAACACCAAAGCTGTTTTCCCCTGAGGTATATATCTCAAGTATGTGAAATTCACCAATGTTTATGCTTGTAATAATTTATAGTCTAATTGTGTCAAAATAGTTTGCTATAATTAATCTGTGCTTAGTATTTGTGTCATAGGACATGGGTTCTACTGATTAAACTGAGCAGAGTAATGACTTCATCTCAAGTTCTTTAGTTTTGTTAGGATTTTAAAAGTACTTTCATGTCTTTCAGTTTTATGTCATTGAATATGCTGCTTGTGATGCTACTTACAATGAAATAGTCACATTTGAACGACTTCGGCCTGTCAACCAAAATAAAACTGTCAAAAAAAATACCTTCTTTAAATGCACAGTGGATGTTCCTGAAGATTTGAGAGAAGCGTGAGTAATTTGTTTACTCTTGGATTATGAATTTAATGTTACAAAACAGTTTTTTCCCAAAACCAGTCACAAAGTCATCTGATAGGAAAATTTTTAAATAAATAACGATGACAAGATGTACTAAATTTGCATTGTAAACATTCCCTAAGTTTATTGTTGTTGAACTTTTACATTGAATTAATTTCTCTCTAGGTGTGCTAATGAAAATGCACATAAAGATTTTAAGAAAGCAGTAGGAGCATGCAGAATATTTTACCACCCAGAAACCACGCAGTTAATGATACTGGTAAGATAACACTATATTTTAAGGTAGCCTTTAATAGCTGTTGCATAGAGTTCATAACTACATACTTTAAAAGATAAGAACTTAATAGTGAATTTACTAGTGAGTTATTAGTGAAAATATTTTGTAGGTTTAACTTTTTAGTTGTTTACATTTTTTTTTTAAACTTTTTGGTTCGGTCGTGGGGCCTGAACTCTGGTCCCGGGCATTGTCT